ATGTTCCGAATTCTCGTTGCTTGGCTCTCTGTTGAATTCTGGCTCCTTGGGCAAATTTCTCCCCGGATCCTCCAGGCCTGCAGCGGTGGCGTGGACAACGTAGACGCCCTCCACACCAATTTGTGAAACTGATTCTCCTCCGTCTCGCCCCGACTTAGGCCCTCTTGTGGCCTGCTCTGGCTGCATCCCGTGCGGCCAGGCCCTCGTCCAACTCCATCGTGTATTTGCAGCTCCGGCCGGTGGGGAAATTCGAGCAGCCGAAGAAGAAAGCGGTGCCATCCCGACGCCGGCGCAAAACCATAGGAAGCTGACATGCCATGCAAAGGACCTCGGGCATAGCTGCTCCAACCTCCAGGTCTTCAGGTAGTTGCAGGCCGGTGCGCGGGCAGATCGGGCGTTGGGCCTCCGAGGCGTAGCTTCGAAATATACGGCTCGGGGCCTTGCTTTTCTTCCTTCTTGGTATTCTTTCCGGTGGTTCCCGTGGGTGCCGGCAGAGACGGGGAGGTAGAGCTGGAGGCCGCCGCCGGGCTCGTCGTCATAGTGCCCCCGGGCGGTGGCTTCAAAGAACCCAGCTCTTTCAACTGCACAAAGCGTTTCGTGCAGCCTTTCTTTTCCACGGCCTTTCCCTGGTAGAAGCGCACAAGCCGATTGTAGATTTGCTCCTTGGTGCCGCTCGTGGCTATGCCCCAGCGGTCGCAGTCACACTGGAGCTCCCGAACCCTCAGCCGATCAAGTGCCGCCGGCCGTGCTGAAGCGAACGTCGGCACCGTCAGCTTCTCCACGTTGCCGGCCGGAATGTAGATCGTCTGGGTCACCTCTTTCTCGGCAGTCTCCTTGGGCATCGGCGGCTCTGGGCTGAGCTCAGCAGTGTGGCTAGGAAGGTCGACCGGAGGGGAAACAACACTCCACTCGCTCTGCTCCTCCGGCTCTCGGGCCTTGCGCTTGTCGTCGAGTTCGGTCTTGCCCGCGTCCTGCTCCATATTGCCGTCCTCGTCGAAGACCATGTTGCAAAAACCTGCCTCTTCGTCTTCGGCGCTGCCCAGGCTAAAGAAGAGAGGGCCCTCAGAAACAAGATAGGCCTTCTCCTTGCCTTTCGCCTTCCCCTTGGCCTTTCCGCCTGGCCGGGGTCGGCCCTTCGGAGCGCCACGGCCAAAGCCAGCCCCCGAGCCTCGCAGAGGGCACTGGCTGTCCCCGGCCCAGTGTCCGAGCCGATTGCACGCCGAACACCTCGTCCGGGCCTTCTCTCGGTTGATGGCTGCCTTCCGGTCGTCTTGGCTGCTCCCGGTGTTCTTGCCCTTGCCCTTGAAGAAACCGCGGCTGCGCTGTATCTCTCTTAACTTCTCGCGACTCTCCTTGTACGAGGAATAAGCATTATAGACCTCCTCGTCGCCGCTGGCTCCAAGGTCCGACGCCGTCTCATACTCCTCCTCGGCTTCGTCCCCGGCCTCAAAGGCAAAGTCACCCGGGTCCTCGGCAACAGCCTCTTCATCTCCAAACTCCGGGCCATCATCCTCAAGGGGCTCCTCGGTGTAGTGCGCGTAGCCGTGGTGTCGTTTCCCGGCTCCTTTCGGGGGCCGCCGGGCTCCATGGTGCCAGTCACGGGCGGCTGCTTTCTCTCGTTCGTGAACGTCATAGAAGCTGACACGCAAAGCCTTTTCTATGCCTTCCAAAGAGTAAGCTGACTGGTTGGCCAAAAGAATTTGCCGCTTGTCGTCCTTGCCGAGGTTCACGTTCTTCAGGGTAAAGTAAGCGAGCAAATCCTCCGACATCTTTATGCCGTCGCCCAGCTCACATAAGTCATCCCAGTCCTGCTTTCGCTGGCGGAGGTAGCTGTCGATAGCTTGGCCTTTTCGTCTATAGCATTTGTCAAAGAACTGGTCAAAGGCCTCCGTTTTGCGGATAATCCCGGCTTTCTCTATCTGGCCCAAAGCCCGGAAAATCTCCTTATAGCCGTCTTTGTTGCGCAGCTTCTCCGGATCCAGCATCAGGTCGGCGCAGGCCTTGTAGGCTTCTCCATGGAGTGCTTGTAGGAGCCTACCGGCAAACCTCTTTTGCTTCTTCTCCAGGGATCGCTTCTCCTTGATATCGTCGTCGCCGCTGCCTTCCAGAGAGTTGAAAGCGAACAAGACTCGTCTGCGGTACTCCTTCATCAAAGCTGGCTGTGCCCCTGTGAAGTGGGGGACACCATCCCTGTCCACGACGATTTCCTCGTCCTTCCAGAAAGTAGTGGCAGCGACGCCCGCCGCGGCCATGGCAGCGAGGCTCCGCTACCAGTGCGGAGTTCGCACTGGCAGCTCGCACACTTTCTTTTCACGCCAAAGCAACAAAGGTGTGTCATGCAAAATGTCTGCTGTGCTTTAAGCCGAAGCAGACCTGAGTCTAGGAAGGCTGGCTTCTGCGTACCGTCATTTGCTCGGGCCGGCTGGAAGGCACAACGGCGGCTTCTGAAATGCAATGGTCACAGGCAACAGTAGCCCCAGGAGAGCTTTCACAACGGGCAAAACAGTGAAAAGATTAGCACAGCCACCCTCAAGCCCTCTTACGCTTCGCATCGCTTCGCATCGCTTCGCTGTAGTCTAGATGCAATGATGATCTTCCGGCCGGTGAGGCCTGCATCGCCTTGAGGACCACCAATGATGAACTTACCTGAAGGATTGATGTGCAGGTGCGTGTGGCTGCCATAAAGGCTGATGGCGGGCTTGCCGTTCTTCAGCTTGATCGACTCAAGCGTTCGCTTGATGACCTTCTCTTCGATTTCTTTGTTCATCTGCTCCATGGTGGGTGCAACCATCTCTGCGCCGGTGTAGCCAGCACACTCCTGCATTCGCTTAGCCTTGGACGGCTCCGCATGCTGCGTAGAGATCACCACGGTGTGGATCTTTTTCGGCTCAACAGACCCATCCGGGTGCTGCATATACTCGATCGTCACCTGCGTCTTGCCGTCAGGTCGCAGCCACCAGCACTCGCCGCTCTTGCGCACATCGGTCAGGGTCTTGCCGAGCCGAGTGGCCATGCTGTGCGTCAGAGGCATGCAATCCGAGGTCTCGTCGCTGGCGTACCCGAACATGATGCCCTGGTCTCCGGCGCCAACGTCCATCTCATCCTTGCCAACATGCACTCCACCGGCAATGTCCGGGCTCTGCTTGTTGATGCGCACCAGGACCTCGCCTCGGCTAATGTTAACGACAAGACAGGGCACAACTGTTGTTGGGTAGCTGCGTTGTCTCCCTGCCGAGGCGCAGGTCTTGTAGCTCAAGCCCTTGCTGTCCACACTGGACAGGTCGTCCACGAAGCTGTCAAAACCGATTTGCTGCACGACGCCACGCACCACCTGGTCGTAGTCGAGCTTGGCTCCGGTGGTGATCTCCTCAACCCCAATGGTCCAAAGAAATTTAGGGTTTTGGCTGACGCCCTCGAGGCAGGGAAGCGAAAACAAGAGCTCAACTCAGCAGCTCTGCAGTGGCAGGGTAAGAACAGACGAGAATGGAGTCGATTGGGAATAGTACTATGCCAACTGGGTCTCTGAATGGCTCTTCTAAGCCAAGGCGCTCCAGCCACCATAACCATGTTGTCCTTGGTCGCAGTCTCACAGGCCACCTTGCTCTTGGGGTCCACCTTGAGGCATGCATCCAGCACGGCATCCGAGACTTGATCGCAGATCTTATCCGGGTGGCCTCGGAGTTGCGGCGCGAGGCTTCGGGGATCTTCGGTGATCTTCGGTGTTCAAAAACAAAACGAGTCACTCCCCTCAGCCCTGGACCTTCGTTCACCGACTCCGAGGAGAAGAGGAAGGTGCGCGTGGTGCGGGCCTTCTTCTGAGCGGGCTCGGCCATGGCGGTTAAGGAGTGTGATTGTACAGCCTAGAATAGAGACCAAAACTGGAAATGGCTGCGGATGGCTGCGTGCTGCGCTACTGAGAGGTTACAAGCTCACATGACAGATCCCACTCGTGTCCTCCAGGACATCGTCGAGGTCCACTCCCGCGTCCATCTGCTGAACTGCCCCCTCAACCTGCGGCACTTCCGGTAACTGTTCCCTGTCGTCTGAGGCTCTTCGAGTTCGAGCCTCCTTCTCCACCGTCCCAACGACATTTTCCACCTACAGCAAACAAAGGCTGTGAGAAGGAAGAGGGCTCCCTTAGCGGCAAAGGAACATTCTCCACGACGCCCTCGAAGGTCTCCCCAATGGAGTCGATGAGGGAGAAGAAGGCGGATGCCATAGCAGCTTAGGCTTGGGCCTCAGTGAGGCCAATAGGAGGCAGCCAAAAGACCGAGGAAGCGAGCGAGTCCCTTGACGCACCCCTTTTCACGCTTTTGGACGCTCCATTCTGTTCTCCCTTGTCGGCCCTCCGAAGAGCAGAGCTCTGGAATAAAGTGTGAGTGTACAGGTTAAGCTCTTGGGGCCTGCGACCTCTGGACAAGGGCAAGCTGGAGAGATGTGCGAGTTGGGAAACTGGTGCCTGGTGGCCCTCGCCTTTACAAGAGCCTGGTGCCAGCGGCTCCCAGTCAGCAGAAGCCGTTCGTGATCATCACTGCGTCCCTGCACTCCTCTCGCCACGCCCGTTCCAGATCGTATCGACCGTCTCCACTTACTGTAGTTCCATTGCAGGTTTGAAGGGCTGATGCGGTGGAATGACGGAAACATCTCGCACACAAAATCATCAAGACCGCATTCAGCATGAAAACCTATGTGCCCATTCGCGACAGCTTCCACACATGACTGAACAAACACTCTTCTTCAACACAGACTGAAGAAGGGCACGTCAGCACCCTCCCCCGCGCGCGCACGCGCCCTGGTGGTCTCAGGTCTTCGCTAACTCTACTCGATGAGGCCCCGAGGTCGAGACTGTGCAAACCCCCTCTTAGCCTATTGCAACCCCTCTCTCTATCTCCCTCCCTGTCTGCCCTTTGATCTTTGCGTACGTTGCACTAATATAGTGCCCTACGCTGATCGATGCTTCTGAAACTTCTGACCAGCCACAGCTACCATTAGAGCCGCAGCTAGCCAGCGACAGCGAGCTCGTCCCGCGCGCCCCGCAATGACCCTCGAGCTGCTGGGGAACGCTGACCAAGGGGCCAACAACAAAGGCCCCGCGAGGGGTGCCCCAGCGCACGCTGCACCTGCAATGAGCTCTGGGACTTTTCTTCCTTTGCTCCCTCCCTCTCTCGCAAAGAAGCCTGCAACTGCGTGGCATACTGGTAAGCGGCGATCGAGGGCAGCAGCAAAAGGATGGAGAGCCAGACCAGACCGGACAACTCCGTCGGGCCCAGCAGGGGCCAGTCGACGTAGGCGAAGAGCACCGTTGAGACCTCTGCTGCCCTGATTCGATCTTACAGTCCTGTAAGGGGCCAGTCTAGGCCTAGGCGTGTGTGTCTGGGCACCGACTGTATTAAAGTTCGAGCTTGTGCCGAGCAGCCGGGAAAATTGCCTTCAAGGCGATGAAAGTGGCCAGCGCTCCTGAATGCTTCACAGACATTAGCACGGCCATGTTCCAAAGCACGTTGAAGATCACGTAGATGCCGACGCCTAGGCAGCGGCCCCAGGCCCCAGAGTGCCGCAGCTTTCACTCGTGCTCTGAGGTTCGGACAGCGGCCGGCCAGCTCCCCGTGGTTCGAATCTTCACCGCAGCTCTCTGCCCGTCCACCGAAGACGCAGTCCAGGGCTTCCCGGGTGTAGGCACCGATGCCTTCACTCCATGTGCGTCTCGCACGAAGCAAAAAAAAACACACCCAAGATCACGCCTTCGCCATGGGTCTGCTTCAGCAGCACATTGAGCGGTATCAGGAGGATCGTCAGAGGGAGCCTCAGCTCGGAACAGCTGCGCTACCTTGGCCGATGGCCGTCAAACTGCAGTCTTTGGCTAAAGACTGGAAGAGCGCCAGGTGGGCATTCATGACAAAGATGTTGAGGCCAGCAGTACTCTCGACGTCTTGCCGTTTCTGCACAAGGCCAACTTCTGGAACCTCTGAGATGACACAGCGGAGGAACTGGCCTTGTATCGCGTGAAGACGAGCTCCTTGAGCACGAACGCGACCTCTGCACATCGGCAGCGAGGCGGAGACGGCTGGAATCGAAGAAGCCATAACACCGGAAAACCCATGGCGGGCGCGGACGCGCAGACACGGAGGCGGACACAGCTGCATCCAAGATGCTGCGTTGAAGATGCAGCTGCCTGCACACCCAAACCGAATCTCAGAGAAGAGATCGCATCTTACAGTGCCTCCCAAGATGACGGCGAAGACTGGCTCGGTGGTCGCGCTGAGACCCTCCAAGGCAGGCAGCAAGCCCGTGACCTCTGGCGGCCGCGAGGCGCGGCTCATGTGCAGAATGCCCCCCGTCGTTTTCATCGCAGCTCGGGGTCCGACTACTGCCGCGAAGACCTGGCAGAAGAGAAGGCCCGGAGAAACGCGGGCGAAGGCACCGAGAGTTGGACCCCCAGCAGTGCCAGAGACTGCATCAGCGAGTAACGCTCTTCGAGAAGGCACCTGAGAGAGCAAAGAGCAGAGAAAGAGCAGAGAGAGAGAGGTCCGTGCCCGTTCGGGGCTCCGACATAGAGAGGACGGCGATGAAGATGGGCGTGCAATTCGACAGCAAGGAGTGCAGCGGGCCGCTGACGTGAGGAGTGCAAATAGCCCCGATGGTGTCGCCGAGAGAGTCCCCTCGGGAATCCGCCCAAAGTGCCACAACAAAGGCTCTCCCCCCCCCTGGCTCTCTTCATGCTTAGCTCTCTTTGCTGGGGCCAGCGACCCAGGGCCGACACAAAAAGGAGAGCCACTGCAGGCGTGGCAGAGGCCACACCGTCGCCTTCGGCGCCCCGCTGCCAGACGAAGCGGAGCTGGGATTTGGGCACCACTCCGACGAGCAGCAGAAGCGTCAAAATGAACCTCGGAAACCCGAAGCAGAAGCAAAACGCCGTTCCCTACCGACCTAGTGCAGCCTGCAGGCCAGTATAGCGGAACATATGCGACTGCGGTGGAAAGCCCCAGCATGTAAGTGTAGCCTCAGACAGGTGTCTTTTGCCGACAACATGCGAAAGTATGGCCAAAGCCACGTCACATGCCCTGCAACCACCCGAAACTACAACATAATCATCTCTGAAGGCAGGCGTCGCTTGAGGGGCTGTGCGGCGATTTGCTTGGCAATGTTGTTCGCACAGCCGAAAACGACCACTGCTACCAGCAAACTAACCTGCAGGAGGAAGGAGGCGTGGCCCGGCTTCTTCGAACCTTACTCAATCTTCAATCGCGAAGGCATGCACTAAAAATTAGTTGCTTCAATGGCCTTCGGATTGTGTCGAAGGCGAACTTTCATCGATCGCTACCTGGACACAGACAGAACGCAGCACGTTGTTTTGCTCTTGCAATCCGAGCAGGCCTCCATTCCTCGTGGTTGAGATGCGTGCGCATCGCACGAACTTCGATCATCCATCAATGGCTTTCCAAGGCTCCCCGTGAACAACAAACGACTGTGCACGGTCATGGGGCATCGGGTAACTCGAGCCGTGCTGAAGACGGGCAGCATCACGAGTCAGCTTGCAGGCTTTCCACTACTATGCTCAGCCCCTGGCCGCGAGCGCCGCAGCGAGCGACACAGCAGCATTCTTGCAAGATCTTCCGCTTGGGTATGTTTCAGCAGCTTCAGCATGTTATGAATCAGCCGCGTACAACGTCCGGGGACTGGGTGGAATGTGCTAGCTGTCGAGATTCACAATTTGGCCATTGTAGATCTGAGCCAACACAATCAGAATGAAACCAGCAAGTGACCAAATGCTTCCACAATAAGTGTTACGTTCGTTTGGTTGCCTGTCTCCCTCTCGCTCTCCTGTTGTCTCTTTCCGGCGAGCTGCGCGAAAACAGGTCCGGACGGTCTTATTTCTGTAGCACAGTGTAAACTTGCATGTAAAAAAGACAAATGTGGAAGTTCGGCCGTAAACGACATGAACCAACCCCCAGAACCACGACTAAGAGCGCCTCTGTGAAACTGCTTTTGACCAGTGCTGGCATCAGTCGCTGGTCCTGTACCCGTTGCATGACCCGCTTGACTTGAAAACTTGAACGCCGTAGCCTGCTCAAGGAATGTGTGAGCGTTGAACTGCTGCTAATCCTGGAGGTCACGCAAGGCCGCAGCGCAAAAAAGCGTCAGTGAATGCTGTTGCTACCTCAGCCGAGCTTCTGCTTCTCACACGACAAGGATGCAAGTTGGGAGCGCTCAAACTCCGGCACTGCTGAGGCACACGCACGCAACTTAAGCATCGTCCGCTGATGGCACCACGAACCCGTAGCAAATGCCCTGCGAGCAGGGCGACGGC